GATTCTTTGTTTGGTCAATGGTCATGTGACTATGCATTTCATCACTTCTCAATATTTCTCGTTGTTTTGTTTTATCATTGCAAAAATTAGATTATATTGTTCGTCTATATTATAGATAAATAACACTGAAAATGAAATGTAGGAGTATCAAAACAGTTTTGGATGTTAGAATTAAATTGTCACTTTTTATAGAAATATTTATAATCTCATTGGTGTATTGTGCTTGAACATATGTGCAATTACTTTAGAGGTACTTTCAGGTAATGTATGATGATTTCAGAAAAATAATTTAGCACCTCGGGAGAAGTACATGTAACCAAGATTTTGGAAAGTCAACTTTTATTTGGAGATAAATTTCATTCCCACCTCGTGGGGCGATGCATCAATGGGGTAGACACCAGTATATCTAGAGATAGAGGAATGTAGTTGTTTATACAGTGGTAAAAAATATCAGCAATTTTAGTGACACCGTTAGTTATTTCATACAGATATTCATCTTTTGTTAGTAGAAGTACCTTGTTATAAAGATCATACGATCATGAAGTTTGACTATATGTTGGGTCAGAATGTTTCTTAAGTGTTTGAATAAAATTGGCGTTTTGCCAAATTAATTAAGAGGAATTTTGCAATAGTATTGATGTATTGGACTCCAACGACTATGAATGTTCTTATGAGAATGTTAAAACTAAAATGAAAGAAAATCTTTGTGTTTTTTTATTAGGAATTTGTTTTTTACATATATTTTTATTGGTGTTTGTAAAACGTTATTTCACTATTTTTATATGAGGACATCATTATGTTAATTCTAAATTAAAAAAAAAATCACATATGAGTTCATTTTTTCTATATTTTACTTCATTTATGCAATGATATGTTTAATAAATAAATTAATTTATTTTACAAACTTACTCCGCGAAAAGCATTCGACACCACGTGTATATTAAAAAAACTAATATAGTAAATAAAAAAGTTAATTAAAATTAGAAGAACATGTGAAAGAACAAGATAAAGGTTTAAAAAAAAATATAAATATAAGAAATAATATGAATAATAACTGTGACACGTGCTAATAAATATAAAACAAACTAATAAACAAAATAATATAATTAATATAACTAAATATAAACCTTCTAAAAATATACTTATCGATGTCATCGAACTGAGTTGTTAAACGCTTGTTAGTTTTTTGTTCATATTAATTTTATGGGTAAAATTGAGGTGATAGACAATAGTTATTTGTACATTTATACATGTAGATTAGAAAAAAAAAATCTTTATTATTCTAATTTTAAATAACTTTTTTATTTACTATATTAGTTTTTTAATATAATATATAAGTATCATATTGAACAGATAAAACAAGAAATATTTTAATTATATAATATTTAATATGTAAGAAATGTAACTCAATTGGTAAATTAATAGGTAATCTTGTGATAAAATAATGAGTGATTTTTGAAAAAAAAAATTATAGGAACTAAACGTGTTTAATATATTTTTAATAGAAAAATTGTAAACACAATTACTCAATAAATACTACATAAAAAATATAAGAAATCTTATATCCTCCCTATATATAATTAAAAAACATAACTTTTATCAATTCAACATAAGCAAATCAATGAGAATAATATATTTTTAAAAATTTTATGAACAAATGTTGACTCGACAATATTATTAAAGAATTTATGAATTGTAAATATTTAATTACCAAATTGTAATTAAATATAATATAATATAGGATGTACAAATATTTGATATATAATGAGGCAGATGATCGAAAAAAATTCTGTACTTTATATTATGTCTTTTTTGACAAATCTACAGTTAAGAACATGTGAAAGAACAAGATAAAGTTTTAAAAGAAAATATTAAGTATAAGAAATAATATGAATATAACTAAGTTGTGACACGTACTAATAAATATAAACAAACTAATAAACAAAAATAATATAATTAATATAACTAAATATAAACCTTCTAAAAATATACTTATCGATGTAATCGAACTGAGTTGTTAAACGCTTGTTAGTTTTTTGTTCTTATTAATTTTATGTGTAAATTTGAGGTGATAGACAATCGTTATTTGTACATTTATACATGTAGATTAGAAAAAAAAATCTTTATTATTCTAATTTTAAATAACTTTATTATTTACTACATTAGTTTCCTTAATATAATATATAAGTATCATATTGAACAGATAAAACAAGAAATATTTAAATTATATAATATTTAATATGTAAGGAGTGTAACTCAATTGGTAAATTAATAGGTAATTTTGGAATAATATAATGAGTGATTTCTGAAAAAAAAAAAATTATAGGAACTAAAATGTTCACGTTTTTAAAATATTTTTAATAGAAAAATTGTAAACACAATTACTCAAAAAATACTACATAAAAAATATATCTTATATCCTCCCTATTTGTAATTAAAAAACATAACTTTTCTCAATTCAATATAAGCAAATCAATAAAAATAATATATTTTAAAAAATTCTATGAACAAAAGTTGACTCGACAATATTATTAATGAATTTATGAATTGTACATATTTATTTATAATATTAATAAAAAATTGTAATTAAATATTATATAATATAGGATATACAAATATTTGATATATAATGAGGCAGATGATCGAAAAAATTATATTCTTTATATTATGTCTTTTTTGACAAATCTACAGTTAAGAACATGTGAAAGAACAAGATAAAGTTTTAAAAATATTAAATATAAGAAATAATATGAATAATAACTAATTTGTGATACGTACTAATAAATATAAAACATACTAATAAACAAAAATAATATAATTAATATAACTAAATATAAACCTTCTAAAAATATACTTATCGATGTAATCGAACTGAATTGTTAAACGCTTGTTAGTTTTTTGTTCTTATTAATTATGTGTAAATTTGAGGTGATAGACAATAGTTATTTGTATATTTATACATGTAGATTAGAAAAAAATTCTTTATTATTCTATTTTTAAATAACTTTTTTATTTACTATAATAGTTTTTTTAAAATAATATATAAGTATGATATTGAACAGATAAAACAAGAAATATTTTAATTATATAATATTTAATATGTAAGAAATGTAACTCAATTGGTAAATTAATAGGTAATCTTGAGATAAAATAATGAGTGATTTTCTGAAAAAAAAATAAAAATTATAGGAACTAAAAAGTTCACGTGTTTAATATATTTTTAATAGAAAAATTGTAAACACAACTACTCAATAAATACTATATAAAAAATAATGTTTGAGAGGACTACAAAAATTTTGCTATACTGCAATGAAAAATTCAACGGTAAGGTATTCTACTAAAAATTTCAACGAATATGTTGCTTTCATTGGCTATTCCAATAGAGTTCAAATTAAATTACATGAACTTTAGTGGATGTAAAGATTTCAATTACCTGAATTTCTATTGGAATTAATTTTTTGGACCATATTTCAATCGTTGAAAAAAATTGTCTTTGGTATTATGCAAAAATTCACTAGAAGTTCCATTAGAAAGATAATTGCAATGATAGATCCAAAACAATTTCATATTGGGAGCATTATTTAGTTAATAGAAAAAAATATACCATCAAAATAACATGTTATTGCAATTTATAAATTATACTTTGTTAATATGGTTTTCTGGTAAACCAAGTTATTAATGCTCATTGGCGTTCGAAGCTCAAAAATTAGAAGATTATGTTATCTCAGAGGATTAACATACTCGCAAATTTCAAGTAATCACACATTGGATAAAGACGGGCCAAGAACCGACATCCTCGTCAAATAACCGACAATTCATATCGGTTAGAACCTAATGAACCGATATCTATGACTCTGCGAACCGACATCATAAGGCGGTGCCAGCTCAGCAACATCATCATTATGCTTTGCCAAGTGGCGTACAACGAGAATGAAATGCGATCGGCCGCCATTGACTTTTCCAGATTAATGATTGTAATTGTGATAATTTTGTATAAGGCTATAAAATAGAAAGGACAAGAAAATATAGAGATATACAATAAACTGTTTTTTTTTTACCATCTTTATATACAACTAAACTTTCTGTATAATCAATACAATTCCATTTGAATACTCTTTGTTAATTCCCATATAACAACAGTTTGGCGCTAGAGGAGGGGCCTCATTAGATTTTGAGGTTAGTCTTCGCTGTTATAGTCATTATCTGCTCAACTCTGTCATGTCTCAGTCTGGTCGAGATCACACCTCTCATGCTGGTCAAAGCCATGCTACGAATCGCTCCCCAAGGCGTTCAACACCACCACCTCCGATAACCAATATCAATAATTTTCTTCAAAATCCGGAATTCATTCAAGGGTTGACATCTCTTATAGCTCGAGCTATGCCCAGAACTTCGAGCACCGTACCGTTACCTACACCCTTCCCCACGAACCCAACAGAACAACCAAATCCTACTCGTCACAACCAAGAAACACATATAGCAGTATCACATGCTACCTCACAATCACGTCATACTTCTCAACATCGAGATGAGATGACTCGTATAACTGTAAATCCAATACCAAATAATCAGGCCGTGCTTGAGCCTCCTATACAGGAAATGACTGCTGAAAGCCATTCTGCCGCCATCATAGAGTTCCTTCACGTCTTAGACCTCCCTCACCGATGCCTCGAGATCGTGAAGATTTACGTCATCAGATTGAACAAAATCGTGTGTCAAAACATAGTGCAGAGGAATTAGAGGTTCTCCGTAAAAGATTGGCTGAAATCGAAACTCGACAGAAATCACAAGAAGACTCCCCCCGAAATGTCTCGACATCGGGCAATGTTATCATTGAATTTGATTCACCCTTGGCTCACGAACTTACTGCGGAGGCACTCCCTACCAAGATAAAAATTCCACAAATTGGCATGTATGATGGAACTTCGGATCCTGACGCACACTTAGGTCACTATACGTCTTGGATGGATTTACATGGTGCCTCAGACGCTTTGAGATGTTGGATGTTTTCTCTCACACTGGGGTCACGAGCGCAAAAATGGTATTACACTCTTCCACCTCATTCAATATGGAAGTGGCAATAGTTACGTGTAGCTTTCCGATCACATTTTATCGGATCCCAAGTCTGTCTTATACCAAAAGAATCAATCACTAACATTGTTCAGAAGGATAATGAATCAGTTAAGGACTATATATCTCGGTTCAATGACCGAATTCAAAATATGGAACCTTGCCATCCTGAAACTTTATTGGTAACCGCGATCGCCAGGTTAAGGCCCAATTCTATGTTTCGCTGGACTCTATGTCAGAACAAACCGGCTACCTTTCAAGAATTTCTCGTACGAGCCCAACAATTCATTATTGCCGAAGAATCGATGTCGGTTCCCAGTTTCGACTTCTCGGTTAAGGAAGACAAACATGAGCCAGATGCAAAGAAAAAGAATAAGAAGAATTTTGCAAAGGCGCAATATCGAAATTATTCGAGAGGCTATGAAGATACTCCGGAATCCAAAGCCGCCCGAGACCAATATGCCGACAATGTAAGAACAGGCTACCAAACTGTTTATTCAGCTGGAGCAGCTACAATTTTTGAAGAACTGAAAGGAAAAGGAATTATTCCCGATTGGAGACCTGTAAGAACTCCTGAAAAAAAGCTGGATAAAACTCGATATTGTGCGTATCATAAGTCACTAGGACATAATACCGACGAGTGTCTCGGCCTCTTATCGGCTCTTCTGCATTTAATTGGGCAACCTCAGCTCCAAAAATTCAGGAATTTTGATAATCGCAGCAAAGGAAGGCCCGCAGATATCTCGCATGAAGAAGATGATGATGAACGAGGCGCTAATCCAAAGATAATTCGCGCAACCGATAAGGAGGTTTTCACGTTCTCTAATCTTGTCGGCACTTCGACCGATGAATACAAAAAACCTAGAACACATGATGACTTGAATTCCTCTCATTACATACCTCGAATAAATTCGAACACCAAGCAGTTGGATACATCTCGGCGAAAAGCCCAAGCCTACACTCGAGAAGCACAGAATGCCGGGAAACAAATCATGAATGTTGATCTTCGAGATACTATTAACAGGCGGAGTTGTCCCATTACTTTCAATATCGAGGATGCTAATTTGTTCGCTCATCCACACTCTGATGCTCTTATTATCACCGCCCCAATTGGAGGAATTCCTGTTCATCGGATTATGGTTGACACCAGAGCTTATTCAAGTATTTTAATGTTTCGCACTTTCAAGAAATTGGGTTTGGATCCCGCCGATATTAGGCCTTGTAATGACCATATTGAGGCTTTAATGGGAGCATTTCTTACCCTCTTGGTGAAATTTTACTCCTCATTCGATTTGGTGGCTTCGGACCAAGATCCAAAATCATTATGAAAACTTTCAAAGTCTTGGATATTCAAAATGAGTACAATGCTGTCGTATGACGTACCGCTCTTTACAAACTCCGCACTGCTGTGTCGATTTTTCATTATGCCCTGAAATTTCCCACCATCGAAGGAGAAGGCACTCACTATGGAGATCTGCAGGAGGCGCGAAATCTGACACTGGCTCCGACTTCACGAAATATTCATGCATATGAAGCTCAGGAGATTGATAACTCTATTGATCTGATAGACCCAATTCTCTCTGATGCTAAAGTAACGGATCAATCCACTTCAGATACCGACATCCCCTCTCTTCCTAATACCGATGTCCCTACGATATCGGAATTGCCTAAAACCTTGACTGGAATTCACGACCAAGAGCAACAGCTTCATGAGGAGGATATGAAGGCGCATGAAGATATAGATCCAAGAATGCAATTCAAGGATAAAAGTCACCACGCTCGGGCGGAACCTTTTGAAGGCGTTGATATCATTTACGTAGATGAGCCAACTCAAGAAAAGTCACTGCGTATCGGAACTAATCTTCAGGAACCAATACGTTCTCAATTGATTCAATTCCTTCGATCAAACTCCGACGTATTTGCATGGAAGCATGAAGACATGAAGGGAATAGATCCTCAGAAAGCGTGTCATCGGATGAATTTGGATAAAACTGTCAAGCCCGTCATACAGAAACACCAAAAATTCAGGCCTAATCGTCAGAAAGCACTGGGAGAGGAAGTGAACAAACTCATAGACAATAAGTTCGTCAAAGAGGCCAAGTATCCAACGTGGATATCAAACCCGGTTTTAGTTAAGAAAAGCAATGGACTTTGGCGCCTATGCATTGACTTCTCGGATTTGAATCAAGCATGCCTGAAAGAAAGTTATCCAGTCCCACATATCAATTATATGGTAGATGCCACGTCAGGACACCAGCTTATGAGTTTTTTGGACGCCTATTCTGGCTATAATCAGATTCCCATGCATCCCGACGATGCTGAACATACCTCATTTTATTCAGCTCGAGGACTTTACTGCTACGTCATGATGACTTTCAGATTAAAGAATGCTGGGGCCACATATCAGAGGTTGGTCAACAAAATGTTTGCTCATTTGATTGGACATACGATGGAAGTTTACATAGACGACATGCTGGTAAAATCAGAACAAGCCCCTGATCATATCGCTCATCTTTCCGAGGTCTTTGATATCCTTCGAGAATACTCAATGGTACTTAACCCTAAAAAATGCACCTTCGGTGTCGGATCAGGAAAATTCTTAGGATACATGGTGAGCCAAAGAGGGATCGAAGCCAATCCCGTCAAGATTCAGGCCATACTTGATTTGGGGGTAAATTGCACCAAACCCCCCCTGTGTTTAACGAAATGTGCGCGTTTCCCCACTATGTTTTAAAAACTGCACCAGACCTCCTTGTGTTTAAGTAACCGGTGCACGATTCCCCTATTCCGTCCAATTTAACCGCGCGTGTATGACACATTCTCCATATGCGAGATTTGTTCAGTTTTTTATTTTCACAATTAGTAATTTACCATTATACCCTCCAGAATTTTATTGCAAAAGCCAAAATAAATAGAGTGTAGGTGGTGGGACTCGAACCCAAGTTGGAAAAGAAGAGCATGCACACGACCACCTGGGCTACAAGAATGTTGTGTAAATTATTGAACACATATATATAATATATACGAAAATGAATAAAATGAATAAAATGAATAAAATGAAATAAAATAAAATAAAAATAAAGTAATAAAATAAATAAAAATCTAATAGGTAATAAAAATAAATTAAATAATTATTAATAGTAATAACAACTTGAAATAAATTTTATTAACATAAAAATAATGAAACCGTTAAATTAAAATAAAGTAACATAAAATTTAATATAGTAGAATGAATTAAAATTAAATAAACATATAATTTTTAATTACTAAATTTAATTATATAAATTTTCAAATAAAAAAATGATAATAAAATTAAATAAAAATAAATAAAGTAAAAATAATAATAGTATAAGATAATAAAGTATAAAAATTGTAAAATATAATAAATAATAAATAAAATAACTTATTATTATATAATAAATTAAAGTAAATAAAAATATTAA